GTTTCTAACACCCCATTATTTTTCCTCCCTGTGTCCCCACCTATGGGGGCCCCAAGTTTGTGATTAGTTTTGTAGGGTTTCGATCCTTAATTGTCACCCAGTTCAGTCCCATTGTTGCATTTGTGAAAATTGCAAACTTAGCACCTGATATTTAAATTTGATTGACTTCTGTTCAGAATTTTTTCCCCTACTTTGCTGCCTGGTTCGACACCTTTGTCATTGTCATTCGACCTCCCAAGAAGAGGGCCTTATTGTTAGTCGGATCTGGACTTGATGCAAATTAGACCTGGTGTTCAACACTGGCGACCAGTGGCAGTTGTCCTTTGGAGGAAGACCCCAAAAACTCAGGGATCTTGACAGTTACCAGCTGTTAAAGAACTTATATCGTCGGGGCCTCTTCGATGGCATCAGGTCTGGAGTGCATCAGGAGGTCCACTCCCAAGGAGTCCATCCATCACCAGGACCCCTAATAGTTGGCCATAAAAGGTACCGAAATGGGAACCAGACCCAGCATCCCTAAGACCTCCCCCCTAGGTTGTTTACTGAACAATTGGTTGTCCTTTGCACTGGACAACCTTAGGAAAAAGAAATTATTTATCTTTTGCCCTTCAAAATGCCTAGGTCGGCTTAAACATATGTAAATGTCTTCCATGAGTCAAGAGAGTGAGGATGGGGCAAGATCAGGCCTCCTCAGCCCCCACCCCCAGCCCCCAGTCTCCAAGGTCGTATAGCTCCAGGGAAGCTTTTGAATGACACTTTCCAACTAGGTGGAGACCCTTTTAAGACAAAAGATAAGAAAAATTGCTGCTTTGCTATAGTTATCAGAAATTGGGTGGATCCCAGTCATGAAAGAACTGTAAACAAGTTCTCTCTATTATAGGGGAACTCTAAGAAATCAAACAATAGAAATCACAATGACACACACCTGAAGTGGCCTGGAAAAATGTTTCCACTCCTAGCCAGACATTAAGGTTATATCCATATCAATGAATTGGTCAGTTGAGCAGAGACTTTGTGATTTCCAAAGAAAGTTGATAAAATCTTTAAGGGCTGAAATCAGATTGGGAAAAATATGAGGAACAGTAAAAGTTGAATAAAAACTTGGAAAGTTTAAATAGACTTTCAATTACAGTTACATTTTATGATATTGAGGCTTAAAATAATTCAAAAGACATTTTAGTTAACTTATTGATGTTAAATTGAGTTAATATATATTTGTCATAATTTAAGCTTATATACTTTTGCTTTTTATGCCATAAGAGGAAGTCTGCTAATGAGTGTGTTGATTTTTGCCATTTTAAAGAGATGCACTATAAGAGGTATGCAACAAAGTCAATGTTTAAGAGGTTTATTGAAAAAGAAATTTATTTGATATAGTCAAAAGTTTTATCTGTCTGACTAAAGGTTAATAGTTTAATTTATGGGATTTTTAGGAGTTTTAATGTTACATAGCATATAAAAAAAATAATTAGGTTGCTCGCTGTTAAAATAACAAAATTTTCTTTGATTTCTGAGTTAAAAGGTTAATGTATTTGTGTAATCTGCTTTGAAGACAAAGGTTCGGCCTCTCAGAATAAGATTCCTGAGATGAAAACCAAGCCGCGTGGCTTTTAGAAAAAAAAAAAAAAAGCTAAGGTTTTTACCTTTAAGATCTTTGACTAAATAACTTAAGTATTGTTTCACGGTGACCTATTATAGACTCCTGACACTGAGACTTCATAGAACGCCACAAAAATTTTTATACGTTAGTATTTCCTCTTATGTTTTTGCCTAATATTAGACAGCAAATACATAATATTATGTCATAATTTTATTATTATTTCTTTGTTGCTAACTTGGTTGCAACTTTATTTTTTTGACTCTAGCATCATCAAAGCCAATAGCTGGATTGGGGAATTCACGTCATTTACCTATGAAGTTTTTTAATTACTATTCAGGTATTTAGAGATTTGATAATCTCAGTATATTCTTAATATATTCTGACTATATGGTATTTTGGAAACCCTGGAGGCGTAGTGGTTAAGTGCTATGACAGCTAGCCAAAAGGATGGCAGTTCAAATCCACCAGGTGCTCCTTGGAAGCTCTGTGGGGCAGTTCTACTCTATCCTATAGGGTTGCTATGAGTTGGAATTGACTCAACGGCAACGGATTTGGTTTTTGTTTATATGGTATTTTGTCTAAAAATTATTATGTATTATATCTGAAGTTCTTTAAAAATAAGGTTAATGGTTATACTTAGAAATATTTTTATCTGAAAAATTTTTTAACTGATTTTATTTGGCCTTTACATTGTGCTTGTAATTAATTTCTATCAGGTCTTTCACTATAAGAGTATTATGTTTATAAATTAATCATGGCAATATTAAGTTTTGTCATCTGCAAGTAAGTTTTTACTTTGCTGATTTGCTGAAAACATTTGACCAAAATATCCCAACAAAAAGGATGAACTATATTGGACTTGCAAAAAAGACTGTGACTAGACTCAATCAAGATTTCCAGAACTTTTATTTAGAAGCTGATGGGTTCACAGACTGTGGCTGACCCAGAATCATATGGAACAGAAATTAACTACATAAGACTGAGTGAACTATGGGTTTTATGTGGGAATATTGCTGATGTCTTAAGGTCCTACTTTCTGGACATAAGAAACCATTTTCCTTTCTCCTTAATTATCTAACAGATGGGTTTAGATATTGTAACTCTTGAATTACAAGTTCCTGTTGGTAAACTTAGCAAAGTTGTAAATATCATAACAAGATGAGTGTCTGATATGTAGTGGGGTTGCTAACCATTGTCATAAGGCAACATGTGTACTACCTCTTTAATGAGAAACTATTTTGTTCTGTAAACCTTCATTTAAAGTGAGAATAGCAGCACATCTGGAAGAATGTAATCGATGTCACTGAACTATGCATGTAGAAATTTTTGAAATGGTGCATCTTTGGCTATGTGTATTTTCACCAAAAAAAAAAAAAAGAGGTCAAGAAGGGAGAAGGTTGACATGTCGTGGGGTTGTTAACCAATGTCATAAAACAATATGTGTACTGACTGTTTAATGAGAAACTATTTGCTCTGTAAACCTTCACCTAAAGCACAATAAAAAAAAGATAAGTGTCTGAAATTTGAGCTATGATTTTACAAAATAGAACAGCATTAGATTTCCTATTAGTTCTCTCAAGAAACTGTTTGTGCCTTAATAGATAAATGTTCCTGTAATATGAAATCTGAGGTTTTGCAGAATATAGTCACTTTGAGGCACATGAAAAAACAGTTACTAATGCTGCTTATGTGTAGACAAATACCTCATGAGATTTATTTCCTTGGTTCAAAGACCTTAGGATCAAGGTTTCCTTGGTTATTTCAGACAATTGGCCTAATATTATTGTTAGTGTTTCTGTTTTATTTCCTAGTTTGCTGTATGGTGCCTGGGATCTTAAAAACTAGATAATGTCCAAGTACCATTTATTGAACATTTTTGATAAAAGATTCTATAGCAAGATCATGATCCAAAGGAGAGAGTTGTATGTAATTCTCCTAGAATCCAGATTTCTGGCTTTCATGGAGGATGAGGCAACCCACACAGTCCATCGCCTTTGGGTGTCCTTTTGAACCTCGAGCTTTGAGGAAAAACTGGTTCCTAAAGCCACGTAGAGTCAAACAATAGTCCAGATAAACTAGTAAGACCATTTTGCTCTGGGCATTTTTTTTTTTTTGAAGAATTCAGTCTTGTTTTAAGAAACTAACTTCAAAGATCAGACTGAGAGTTATGTTTAGGGTAAATCAGTAATCAGTTTAATCAGTCTTCAAGACAGTGTTGTATGAAATACCTGTCTAATGTTTATAATCAAACTGTCACCCTCTTACTATACAGAAAATTATGTATCTTAAAGAAACCAAGTTTTCAGAGGAGAGCAACCTCATGGCTCAGACTCCGTTTTGTCTTCTGCTTCTGAGAAAGTGACCCATGACTGTTAATTGGTAAACCAAGGAGGGGCAGCTTGCCCTTGGGAAGAACACTTAGTATGTTTTAAACAGACTAACTGAAGACCTCCAACAGGAGAGGTCCATCCTGTATTATCTTGCTAATCATGAATTCTCTAATGGAAACTTTGTTGTCACATGTAAATTTTTCTATATTTTCCATTTCCTCTAAACATACTTTGTGTGCTCCTTATGGATATGTTTCTGTGTGGTAGATCCAACTATACTAATTTAGATGATCCCTTTCCAACTGATAGTGAGTTTATGTGGGCAATTGCTTGTTTAGATTCCTGATGAATGTGTGGGCAATGCACTTTGAGAACTTTAGAATTATCTTTAAGTATTCATAGTAACAATGCTAGTAAATATTGGGAAGGTAATGTTAAAATTGTTACACGTTGTAAACGAAAGTCAGAAGAAAATCCATTGGTCCAACACTCAGGATATGGTTGGTAGCTTTAATTCCTACTTATGGTATAGTTGAATTGGAGAAATCTTTAAGAAAATTTGTCAAATCACTATAGGACAAATAACAGATGAAGTTGCTAGTGAGATGTAATCACAACAGTGGACTCTGATCTCATAAGCCAAGATGACATGAGATGAAAAAATAACCTTAGATTTTTTTTATTAGTCCAATAAAGTGTAGTCTGTGCTATAGACAAGATATACATAGAATTAGACAGCAAGCTACTTGGTTACACACTGTAACACTCTTAGACAAACACCAGATTTGTTTGGTTGGTTATCATCAGGAATAAGTACATGGGCTAGATCACTATTGCAAGGAATAGTAATATTCTTAGTCTACATCCTGATAGTATTAGGCATAATAAAATTTATCCTCTATTGTTTTACACACCTAAAAGGCAAAAGAAGACCTTGGGCTAAAATGTTGATGTACACTGAGTCTACTCATTTCAGCAACGCAACTGAATGTCGTTCTTACTTAAGATCCTGGTGAAGAACCAGATGGTATCCGTTGGAAAACCAGCACCGTGAGTTTAAAGAGCCTGCAATGGCCGCCATCTAGGAACTCGACTAAGTCCAGGTATTGATCATCAATGTGTTATCCCCAATCTCTGATCAAAAGGAGGGAATGATTTAGAAAATAATATTAGAGTTATTATTCCCTGTCCTTGAACATAGAGAATGTGACCCAGCTGGAGCTAGGCTCACAAGGACTCACAAGGACACATCAACTGGGCCCTGAGGTATAAAGACAGTAGCTAAGATAATCTTGGAAAGTATCTTTTAGGGAATTTTTCACATAAGCCAATCAAACAGAATACAAAAGACTTTTCACTCTTATCTTTTTCTAGTAGCATTTAGTGAATAAAATTTTTTTGTACCAATGAAGACCCTCCTGAATGTCGTTACTGAAACCGGTACCAATGATTGTTAAGAAAGACGATTCAAAATGTAAGATCACAGTTTCTAGCCAATCTGTGAAAAGGTGAAGCTTTCAATGGTTTTGCCCATTTGTAATGTTAGTATATACTGATGACTCTGTAATGGTCTTTGGACTCAGGCAGACAGGGCTGTGGCAGCACGCTTGTCCATTTTCCCATTCTTGCCTATTCTGTAATATTCTTTGGACTTGGACAGACATGGCTCTAGCAGCATGCTTGTCCGTTTTCCCACTTTTTTCTGTTCTGTGATATTTCCTTGGACTCGGGCAGACATGGCTCTGGCAGCATGGTTGCCCATTTCCCACTTTTGTCTTTTTGCATATATGCCAAATAAAACTTTCTTTTTGCCTTACTAAACTTTGTAATGTTTTTCCCTTATAGCATCCTTCAGTTACACAGCAGCTGTCCCTTACTGGTCATCATGACTGTTTCTAAGAGTCCACTTTTAAGTCATTGATTTGCTTTTTAAATTCTTTTAATAGACTTTATTTTTTAGTGCAGCTTTAGGTTTACAAAAAATTGTGCGGGAAGTACAAAGAGTTCCCACATACCTCTTCTTCCCCCGTACACTATTTCTCCAATTATTAACATCTTGCATTCGTGTGGTACATTTGTTATGTGGAATCAAATTTGTATTAAAAGTAGATATTTTACTTTTATTTTAAGGGGTCTTTTCTTATCTGTGAATTAAAAAATTCCTGATCTAAAATTAATCTGCCAATTTTTTCCTGTCTCAACCAAAGTTGCTAATCAACTTTTCTTTCCTGTTCCAGGAGCAGAGGTTAACAAAAGCTTTAACTTGTGATTTAAGGAAAAAAGACTCTTTAATTTAAATTCCTAGAGGTCTCAGGACTACAGGTGGGTGGAGGGCCAAATCTTCTGGGAAGTTACATTTTTAGTGTTAATTCAGTAGCCATTAAGTACTTTATCACCATGGAAACTGGTATTCTTTATGCAGAAGTTATTTAAGTCTCTGTGAATTCTGCATTCTCTGGAAGCAGGCTCCCCTTGCACAAGCAGAACATTCCCCCAATTTGTAAATTGTTTATTAAATCATAGAGCAATCAAATACTGTGTTATTCTTTTGAATTAGACATGATTATATTTTTTAACAGTTACAATTGATGAACCAATGAATACATTATTATTGACTAAAATTCATAGTTTACATTAGAATTCATAGTTTGTGTTGTATAGTCCTATGATTTTTTGTTTTTGTTTCTGTCATTGTTTTTAAACTGCTACAGGAAGGGACTAGACAAGGAAGTTTATGAGTAAGTGTTGTATGTGATGAGAAATTCCAAAGCCTGCATGAGAGCCCAGGGTAATGAAATTTGTTGCTTTAGTACATGGGCTTTGTTTAATGAGCACCAATGCCATTCTTGGATTTGTGGATACCCCAAAGTCCTAAAACAGGCTTTTCTGAGCTAGTCTGAAAGAGGTTGACTCAAGGTAAGGAGGGAGAACAGGGCCTTTAAAGCAAAATTTTATGATGATTAAATTTCCAGATGTCCTTTGATGTATAAAACCAAAAACCCATTGCCATGGAGTTGATTCCATCTCTTAGCGATAGGACACTCCTAGAATAGGACATGAGACAGAGCCCCTGCAGTGCTATATTCTTTACCTGGCTTCCTCTCCTACAGTGTTGTATTGAAAATTCATTTCCTTTGCTGGACTCCCTACTACCCAGCTTTGCATTTGAATCCTGCTTTTGCTTGGAGATTATATGTAAACCCCTTTGTGCATGCCTAGTATGATTAAGAATGTTGCTGACATAAGTTGTATGAACTCCCGACTTGTAAACCCCTTCAAAGTAACTTGCCTGCCTGCCCTTGATGAGCAGTCTTGGCAGCAGCAGCTCCAACTGACTCCTTTTCCTTGTACAATGAAATAAATGTGCCTTTCCTGTTCTCCCCACTTGGTCTCCTGGTAACAGGCAGAGTAGAACTGCCCCATAGGGTTTCCAAGGAACGGCTTGTGGATTCGTGCTGCTGACCTTTTGGTTAAACAGCTAAGCTCTTAAAACCACTGAGCCACCAGAACTCCCCTTTACTGTTTGGCTTGTCCTTAATGACTCTGTTTCTACAACAGAACAACCCTGAAACTCTGCATGTGCTTTGATGCTATCCTCTTGAGAAATTGACATGACAATGACCTTTGGGAGACCACCCTGCCTGACCCAGATACTCAACATTCTTAAGAACTGACCACCTTGAGGATCGGAGGTACATGATTCTTGACAAACAGTTGCTATAATGCTGTACCCAAAGATCATGCTTTCACTGATTCCTCCTTAGATTGACACTGCCTAAATAGAATTGTATCTACTCACAATAAATATATTCTGTTACTCTCATTTCTGATGTTTCTCTTGTTCTAGGGTAAAAACATCACAAAGTTAATAAAGCAAAAGAAAGGTTTTATTCTGCACATATTCAAAGAGGCAAAAGTAGGAAATGGACAGGCATGCTGCTAGAGCCTTGTCTGTCTGAGTCCAAGGAATATTACAGAACAGACAAAAGTGGGAAAATGTACAAGCATGCTGCCAGAGCCATGTCTGCCTGAATCCGAGAGACATTACAGAATCATCAGTATATATTAACATTACAAATGGGCAAAACCATCAAAAGCTTCACCTTTTCACAGATTGGCTAGAAACTGCTAACTCTCCGTGATTCTACCTGTTGAATTGTCTTTCTTAATAATCATTGGTACAAGTTTCAGGAGGGTTTTCATTGGTCCAACAAATCTTACTATTCACTAAATGCCAATAGAAAAAGATAAGAGTGGAAAGTATGTGGGTATTTTGTGCTGTGTTTTATGATTTGTTTATGTGAAAAGTTCCCTAAGTGATGTTTTCCAAGATTGTCCTAGCTATTGTCTTTCTACCTCAGGGCCCAGTTGATGTGTCCTTGTGAGTCCATCTCCAGCTGGGTCACATTCTTTATGCTCAAGGACAGCAAGGACAGAGAATAATGGCTCCAATATTATTTCCTAAATCACTCTGCACATTTAGTTTTTTTAACAATTCCTGGTGTCAAAAGTCCCTGCTTTCTGCCTCTGTGAAGGTGGCTGTAAGACCAACATCGTAGAAGGATATTACTGCAAACTTAAATTCCACGTAGAATCTTGTGCAAGGTCCTTGTTTGGGGATATCAAAGAAACACATGACCCTCTGGATTCTTGGGAACTCAATCTAATTTTGGATAGTGAATTTTCATAAGGACAAAGCAACACATCACACATGAAATAGTTAAGCACTGAAGGAACACATCCCAAAGATTTTCTGGAGGAGATATGTATAGAGCCAGTTTTCCTTTGAAGAAGTGAGAGAGATATGCTTTGGTGAACACAGGAGAAGGCTGTTTAAAGATAATTTTCAGAAAAAGGTAAAATCATGACTCACACAGATATAAAAGTGAACACATGTTAAATAATTTATTATACTCATATATGAGAAAATCAGGCAGATGTTAGGTTCGAAGGAAAAGTTAAACAGCACAGATTTATAAGAAGTAAAAGAATGTTGAGATGAATTGCAAATGTGGACAAAACAGGCTTTCCCACGGTGGGGAGGAAGTCAATTAAAATTACCACCAGACAAGACATAATTTACATATCTATCACTTACCTACAATTTAAAAAGAGCTGCAAAATACTTCAAGGCCAATGAACAGGGCTGGAATCTGATAATGTGTAAGGGATGCTATAAAGGGGGCAGCTAGGTGGTGCCAACAGTTAAGTGCTTAACTACTACCCCAAAGGTTGATGGTTCGAACCCACCCAAAGGTGCCTCGGTTGACAGGCCTGGCAATCTGCTTCCAGAAGGAACAATTCTACTCTGCACGCGTGGGGTCGCCATGAGCCAGAATCTACTCCATGGCAGCTAACAACAACATGCTATAAAGGGTACATAGCTTTCCATTGAAACACAATTTTTTTTTCCTATAAAGCACTGAAGGCAAGGTAAACAGAGAGGTTAAAAGCAGGGAAGTTAAAGAGTAGGAATTTAGGAAGAGTAAGAAATATATAGTATCAAAAGTCGGCCCATCTGGCTGGACTTGCAATATGACCGCAGTGATATTTTTTCAGGGTGAAAGAGAAGGCTTAATTTCAGATTCTCTAAATCTTTAATGTACAGAATTCCTTTGTGTACATATTTGATCCTAACGACTTTCGGATTCTTACCAGCTGATTCTAGTTGCTTCTAGTTCCTGTGGCTACAGGCCTTTTCACTGAGCCAAGTACTCTCAGAAGTTGTTCCTTAGGAGGCTTTCTGTAAAGTTCGGACAGCTTAGAACTGTGTGGAGGAGTGGGGAGAGAAAAAAAACCGAGAGAAATTTGATGTATTTTATCCTTCTGTAGTTGGCTTAAGGAGTCCTGGTGGCACAGTGGTTAAGGCACTCAGCTGCTAACCAAAAGGTTGGCGGTTTGAACCCACCAGCCCTCTCCACAGGAGAAAGATGTGGTAGTCTGCTTCCGTAAAGGTTACAGCCTTGGAAACTCTATGGGGCAGTTCTCCTCTGTCCTATCAAGTTGCTGTGTCAGGATCGACTCGATGGCAATTGTTTTTTTGGTAGTTGGCCTTTATTTTAAAAATAATCCGGTACTCTCCTTTTCAATTTTCACCTCATAACAGTTTTTCCCCTGCACACTCTCCCTTCCTTCATAATTTTAATGGCTACATCTCTTCGCTCTGGTGTGTCAAAGGGAGTGGCCAGAGCTTAATGAAATGCCTGCTGGGGCAGAGGGAGCAAGTTACCTTGGAGGGACCCCAGAGGAGACTAATGAGGTGAGGAAGGAATGGAGATATAGGCCAGCGTGGTGGGGGCCAGGGGAATGTGGGGTGAGATGTAAAAGAAAAGAGAGCCAGGAAGACTCGTTATATCTGACCACAAATGGTTTAGTCAGGAAATGGGAGTCAAAATTCCACTCCTGCCAGAAGGCCCATGCCAGTTTTGCTCAAAAGCTTCCTGAATGCTACCAAGAGTCTTTGTTCCCCTCAAAAACATTGTTTTGATTCTCCTGGAATCCAGATTTCTGAGTTCATGGAATTCGGGTAACCCACACAGGCCATCTTCCCTTCGGCGTCCTTTTGAACTTTGGAAAAACTGGTTCCCTGGAGTCATCTTCAGGTCAAACAATAGCTTAGTGAGCAGCTTAGCAGAGAGTGTTTTGCCTTAGGCATTGTGTTCCTTTGGAAAATCACGTATGTGCAGCCAGCTTTGAGAAACAGAACTCCAGGGTCTGACTAGTGGCTGTTTTAGGATGTATGGCATGTCCTCGGTGACTGTTTCTGTGACCCACCCTGCGCTTTGATGTTATCTTCTGATAAATTAACATAACAATGATCTATATAACCCTCTTTCACTGTCCCCTTCTCCGGAAGGTGACAAGTTTGGGTGATGCTGCCTGAATAGAATCACATCTATTCACAACATATATATTCTGTTATACTAAGTTTTGGTATTTCTCTAAGCAATTTACGTATTTGATGCCCCTTTTTTTCCAGTTTTTATTTTATTTTTTTCTTGTACTTTTTTTTCTCTATTGTACTTTTTTTTCTCTATTGTACTTTAGATGAAGGTTTACGGAACAAACTAGTTTCTCATTAAACAGTTAGTACACACATCGTTTTATGACATTAGTTAACAACCCCATGACATGTCAACACTTTCCCTTCTCGACCTTGGGTTCCCTATTACCAACTTTCCTGTCCCCTCCTGCCTTCTAGTCCTTGTCTCTGGGCTGTTGTACCCCTTTAGTCACGTTTTGTTTTATGAGGCTGTCTAATCTTTGGCTGAAGGGTGAAATGACTTCACTACTGAGAAAGTGTGTCCAGGAGCCATACTTTAGGGTTTCTCCAGTCTCTGTCAGGCCAGTAAGTCTGGTCTTTTTTTGTGAGTTAGAATTTTGTTCTACATTTTTTCTCCAGCTCTGTCCAGGACCCTCTATTGTGATCCCTGTCAGAGCAGTCAGTGGTGGTAGCCGGGCAACATCTAGTTGTACTGGACTCAGTCTGGTGGAGGCCACGGTAGATGTGGTCCATTAGTCCTTTGGACTAATTTTTCCCTTGTATCTTTAGTTTTCTTCATTCTCCCTTGCTCCGGAAGGGGTGAGACCAGTGGCGTGTCTAAGACTCCGGAGGCTACTCACCAAGGTAGAAGGTAGAACATTTTCTTTATAAACTATGTTATGCCAATTGAGCTATATGTTCCCTGAGATTTGATGCCCTTTTTATTAAAACATAATTTTTGTATTTTCTTTGACAGTACAATTACCACAGAAAACTTAGGTTCATATAGGATTTTTGGGGGAGATTTATGAGCATTCATTGGGTCCTTTTTGGTTAGGTGGCATTTCCCTTTTCTTTTTTTTTTTTAATGAGAGTGGAGCAGAAAAAGCAGTATGGCACTAGGATATAAAACCAGGAGGCTCAAATGTCACATTTGTGTCTTTGGCTCCATTTAGGCCATGGTTACATAGTGCCCTTGGAGTTCTGATGACATCCAATAAATACTGTGGTAAGTTGCTGTTTGAGCTCAGAAAGGATTTTAAAGAGTCTCTAAGTTGCCTTTTGCCTCAGCCGCTTTCTTTTCGTTTTTTAAAAGTCTCTGGTACCATGCAACTGAGGGCACTGGTCAATTACTGTGCATGGGCCAGCTCATTTTATTGAGTTAAATTTTGGTATTATTTAAACTATCATTTTTGATGCCTTTGCTTACTGAGCCTTCCCTAACCTGAGATCCTAAAGCCTAGAAAGAACACTTTCCACCCATTTCCCTTACTTTTTTGAACTGACAACAATGGTTCAGAGCATGTTTCAAGTTGCAAACAACTAGTATTTACAGAGAGATTAAGTGCAGGGTTACTTCCACACTGGCTATTTTGGGGATTGTGAGGCTAAATACAGAGCCCTGGTGACACAGTGGTTAAAAACTACAGCTGTTAACCAAAAGGCTGGCAGTTTGAGTCCACCAGCCGCTCCTTGGAAACCCTATGGGGCAGTTCTACTCTGCCCTATAGGGAATTGACTCAATGGCAAGGGGTATAAAGCTAATTACAAATTTAAAAAAAAATCGTTTGCTTTGTTGCAAAAAGGGAGACTCCTTCTTTCTTTTTCTTAGAGCATTTACTTCAGTTAGCTTGTAATTGTAAATTCTTTCTCTGCCTCTTTTGAAGTATTTGCCGGTTTTACAACCCAAGAATGTTTTCTCAAGGACCTGGGAGCCATCTCTAAAATGT